GAGCCTGTTACACAGTCATTAAAATGGCGAGAATGATATGCGATACGGCAAGATAAGAATAACAGAGCTCTTCGACAAAATCACCCAATGACTAGCAGAAGGCTATGTCCTCCCCTTGACTGCTGGGAGCTACTACTCCCACAGCATCTCCTCGAGTCATGACGAGAAAGTAGCAAAAAAATAAGATATATAGATGACAAAAAACATTCTGTTGACTACACTTCCTACAGTGGAACATATGGGGATTAAAAAGCCAAAAGAAAATGAATTGGGGAAGGCAGCTATGCTCCATAAATAATTTATTGCGCATTATTTCGTTCACATGGAACCATAGTCATCCGCACGAGAAGGCAGGGCCTAGTTGCCTAAGGGACATTGCAAAATCGACCGCACACATTAAAATAAAACGAAGGGGGACATTGTTACTCAGAGAGAGGGCGCAAAGTCAGCCCTGACATAATAGGGAGGCGGGGCGCTGCAACGCACCTTCATCCCTCCCTTACCCTCTGGATGGGAACCATGCGCGCGTCGAAGAAACAACATCCGACGCAATGTACGTTAATAATATCGAAAGATATTCAGATAAAAGAGCGACAGCGCTACGTAAGATGCATTAGGGAAAATGAAAGGTGCTACGGACGAAAGAACAAACGAAATAAGATACACATTAAGACAAAAAGGAGGTACAAAGCAAGAAATGAACGCACTATACGTCACGTACATTAAGAAAGAAGGAAGGAGATGTAGAAAAGACCCAAGCACACCATATTGCGTCTCAATCACGGATCCTTTCTACATCTTGTGCAGTATTAGTTTGTGACAGAATGTTCCTCCTTCGGAAAACGCTCGTTCTGCCCCACACTTGGTGGCACTCAACGAGCGTAGTTGATGCCGTTCGGCTGCAATGCCATCGTTTATTTCCGCGTCAGCAACGACCACAGCTATTCTTAGGTCTTAGAATCTGACATTGGCACCAAAGCTGCAACACGTCTAACGCTATGCTGAAGAAACGCCACGCTGGACGACTTCGTTTTTAGAAAGAAGACATCGGGGCTTCTGTGGCACACCAGGAGTCGCACATGAGCCGCCAAAAAGTGCATAAAGACGGGCTGTGTTTTTGAGGCAACGTTTCGACAAGTGGACTTGTCTTCTTCAAGGCTAGAATTCCTGACCTTGAAAAACTAGAACTTCAAGGATAGAAGTTATAGCCTCGAAGAAGAGAAGTTCAGCTGGCCGACGTTTCGGCAAGCGGACTTTTCTTCAGAGCTAGAAAATGTATATGGGCGCATCATATGTTGAAGTTGGGGTTGACGTTTATTTCACCACACAGTTACATATTGACATTCTTTTTGAATTCACAACAAAGATACAACGTGTGACAATTCTAATGTATCCTTGCTTTGCTGTATGCGTTGTACAAGAGGCCGAAACCTTCGTCCAGTGGGAATTTCCACAGTTTTGGGGGGCCTTCTATTAGACTTATGAAAATAAATTGAAATTGAAAAAGATGAGAACAGAAGCCTTTGTCAGCGTAAGGCCTTCGTACCCGATTCATGTGGTTCCCTAAAATGCTAAACAGATTAAATACGCTATGTTCGGTAGCCCCAAATATTGTTGCCAGCAGAACACTGCAACCAAAGGGCAAGCCATTTCGTTAGAACATTATCTTGGTTTACAATTTTTAATTACACTTTTGTGAAAACTGAACGTACACTTCGACATATCCCGTGGCTGTCTTACCGTCATTGACCGATGTCGTTATGACAAACTTTTTTTTTCGGTGATCACATTGTATACTTTCTTTTTAAAAAACGTAATCTAGCACTGGAAGCAAAGCAGCAAATGACTACGAATATTGTGTCTAAAAAATCTTCATGAATTGTTCAGTTAGAAGTATAGTAGCGAATCGGCTAGTCGGAACATAGTCAACGCAGGAGTCAGGTGCGTGAGCCAGCCATCAATCAGCTTTCACAGATGCTGAGATTTCGTATATATACAGCATACTTTATTACGTCTTTGTTGGGTGTTAAGGTTTTTTATGCCTTTGTGTTTGCATATATATGACACCGTTTCTTCCAATAAATTTTAATTTGGTAGAGAGCGCTTGTGTTGTGCTGTTTTTTTAATTTATTTTTTTGCTTTTTCGTGCGCTAATGTCATGAGTTGTTCAGTTTGTCCTGAGCTCAACTTGATTTACTTAAATTAGTTTCTTGATCGTAATAACTTTTATCGAAAAGTTTTGCCTCTAGTATTTAGTTTAGGTTGCGCGAAAATGGCAGCTATGCTGCTATAAAATTCATAAACTTAGCCACACGAAGCATCAAAGCATCATATCTGTCTCCGACTGTAAAAACAATAGGTTGGTGCTTATTTCGTTTTTGAGCCCTACTGTAACGCGTACATAAATTTAGTGGCTATATTTAATGAAGAACTGCGTGTTAGAATCGTGCAAATGTGGTATATGGCATTTCAGGAGCCATCGTCAGCCATTCAACGGTCGAAAAACAACGCAAATAACGCGGCGAATGCCGGAACAGCAACGGATCACCTTGCGTGTACGGAGCAGTACGAAGATGTTGCCTTCGTTATTTCGCGAATACACGCACCAGTTATCAGCCCGCGATCATTGTGTAAGCAGTTCTGCGGGTGAACTTCCTTCTTTCGTAATAGTTTGATGACGACACACACACACGCACACGCACGCACGCACACGCACACGCACGCACACACACACACACACACAGAAATTACGAGCATTTGCATCTTGTTCCATTGGCCCACGCAGACGGATTTGGCAGAGTTCAATCAATCAATCTATCAGTTTATTATCATGTCATGAAAGGATGTTACAGAGAATAAAATATACAGACGAGGGTCCCAAAGTACACGACTGCAACGGGACCCAAGGGGAGTCCATGGGGGAGTTCATGGAAAACTCCCCCTGAAGGAACATTTGCACCAGAGTCGCCAGCGCTGAGCGACTCAAATCGACGCGCCACGCATACGGTGGTTACAAGATAAAAACTTTTACAACGAACCAGTACAGTTAGGGTAGTCATGAAGAAAGTCATAATATGCATGCATGTTTAATATTCCCGGTTCTGTGCGGAGTACGCTTGCGTACCAAACTGTGAACAAGGATTGATATGGTCGCGTAAACATGACGACGCTTGTGGTGTCGCCTAAAGCGTATATACAACGATGTACATGGGGCGTATTTTCGACGTATTCAGCTCGTAATCTATCAGGCACTCAGCGAAACACGTTAATGAGGCTCTCAACGATCGGCAAACTCCATACCCTGAAGTAATTGTTCACCTTGCTAAACGAGCGCAGAGACTACGCTTCGGAATGTCCTTCAATAAGCGCGGACGTCTTGCAGCGCGCGACGTAGAAGTACAGCCACGCTGGTTTCACACTATATACACGTCTTTTGTACGTCTCATGTGGTTGCTGGTAGAACGAGAGGTAGCTTTATTATTTTTTTTCGCGAAGTTTAGTGAAGATCCGGCGTAACATCTATTAGGACAAGAGAACTTTGGCCCCCATATAGACAAACATTCTCTAAGTGGTTACTGTACATATGCACCGCCTCTTCTTGTCCCCATCATCATCCTTCATCCCTTTTTCCTTTCCCCCTTTCCTTATAACCTGTGTAGAGTAGCAGGCTAGAGCGAACTAGCTCAGGCCGACCTCTCTGCTTCTAATGAATTCTCACTCACTCAATTGAACGAGTTTTGGTGCCACAATATTGGGTTGTTATACAGGGTGCCATCTTGAATGTGTGACATCTAAACGAACCGAGCGACTGCACGCGCATGCGTGCAAAAACGGTTGAGTGAGAACATTCGGCACTTCTTGACCTAGTTAATTTATGTCTACACATAAAAAAATACGAAAGCATTCGTTAAATAAGCTGGTGGCGGCCACACGTAGAGCCCAAGACCGTCTATAGAAGGCGGGAGCTTCATTCTTGCCAAAGCTGCAAGCTAACACCTTTCGCTGCATTGGCTTTTTCATTAGACGGTAATCCATCTTCAAGGGAGCACCTTTCGCGGAATATCCTTCGCAATAAGGAGACGCAAACATCCGGAAATAAACGACACGCAATATCGCCATTGCTGAATGGCTTCGGCATTGGGGATCCACGCGCTTCTGATGACCGGATTGCCGGTATTGCCTTGTAAAGTTTCTGCGATTTGTTTTTTTGCCGAAGACGGGTCAATCGTAGAAAATATACGCGTAGAAAACGCTATAAAGACGCGTACGGTGCTTTTTTGATCCCAAACACCCGTGCATCTACACGTCCGACTGACTTTCTTCGTCGCTCCATCAACGCGAACGAGCAAGTCAGGTTCGTCACGATGTTGCCATTGCGCACGAACCCATTGTGACCTAGATTAGCACATCCGGGTCGTTCATTTCACGAGACATCGCAGCTTTTTGTTTTCTTTACTGTTGTTATAGTCAATCGTCTAACTCGTCAGAAAGAAAAAAAAAGACACATTGTGAATCCGTCAGATGTTGCAGGTAAGCTCGCACGTCACAGCATCGTAATATCCCGCAGCGATCTGTACAAATATAGGACAACAAACCGATCAGCTTTCCGAGGGAACGAAATTCCATTCCATGTCGGCGGGTGAGAGTAATTACATCCGCACCGAACAAGGGTGCACGGTAAAAGAGACGAAAGAGGCAGCTAGGCTGAATCGGTACATTTCAGTACTGTTCTACGATTACGAAACAACTGTCGCGACTTGTTTAATCAACTTTCGCATGAGCATGTCACTGTGTGGGAGTCATCTTGTTTCGAAATGTATATATGCATAATGCAGGATCGCCGTTTCTGACGGTGCCAGAAAGCGTCGCGCTGTCAATAGCCGACGCGGCCAACGGCGGCGGCATTGGTGAAAAGAGCAGAGCGCCGTTCATATGTGCACGTTCGCATCCCTCGGTATTCACGAGTACGGAAGCTTCTACGGCAAAAGGTGATAACGACGTTCAACGTCTCGCCGTCCATCGTCAGCCTGAAGAACACTGCTTACACGCCTGGAAAAAAACCCAAAGCCCGGTTGCCGAGGGCATTCGGTCAAACACCCTTCGGTCTCACCTGGTACCCAGGTCCGTAGTACTGCTGACGCTGTCCCAACACGGGCAACGATGTCCGACGTCCTTTGGAGGTGATTCCGTGAAGTCCCGGGGAACTGCCCGTACGACGACGTCGCACAGCCAGAAGCCTCCCGTCGGGCGACACCAGCGAGGAGACGTGACCCGCGCGGAGTTGAGCCTCGGTGAAACGAGCCGCCAGTAGACCGAACAGTCCGCACAGGTGGCCGATGGTCGCACGCACCCAACAAGGCCAGCCGCCTACAAAGGACACCAAGGCGACAAGCCGCAATGCTGCCAGTGACGGCAAAACACCCAACGCCCTCGGAGCGGCGACCGCGCACGCCGACAGGCACACCGCGGCCCACACCGCCGTTGAGGCGACGAGTCCCGCAGGACTGGGAAGACGTCCAGCTACTCCTCCGGCCGACAAGTCACCCACGATCCCTGACAGGGCGACCACGAAGCCATCCGAAGCCTTGAAGGTTCCGCGAGTGGCCAAGCAGAACCAGTAGTGGGCGCACAGGACGGCCCATAGGGGAACGCAACTCGACACGAGGTAGCGGGCCACCTCTGGAAGCAGTGAGGCGAGGGCTACGGTTCCGAGGGTCGCGGTGAGGGCCCACTTGCCTCCGGCTGCACGGGCAGCTCGAGCAGCGGGACCGGAGGCAGCCTGTTGCTCGGGTGGTCGGAGCCAGACAGAAACGTAACCCGAGGAATGGTCGGCTGTGGTCACAGAAGACACCGTCGCCATGCCGACTGGAGCACGACCAGAGACCTGGAAGGTCAGATCTTCTTTCTTCTACGTTATCAAGCACCAGCACCGGGCGGCTTGGGCGCCGCGAGGTACGCGGTTTCTGACGCACTCGGCATGGTAAGACCGACGATCGGAAACTTTCTTTTGCTCCTCCCTTTGACGGCACCTCCTGCGCTGTTCCTATAAACTAGATCCCCTAGTGTGAATGCACAGGATGACAGACGGGAAGTGGAGCGTCTCGTGTCGTTTCACTCGGTGTCAGATTTCAGATCTGCAAAGCTGTCGTTGTGACGGCGGTTTTACAGATCTGCGGCGTTCTCACTTTCTCTTACACTCTCCGCAACGGTGTTTCACCGAGCACGACTCAGTGCAGCCAATGACACAAACCTCGCGCACATGCCACACTAAGACGCACGCCCGCTTTCTGACACTTTCGATTCCCGGGGGGGGTTTCTTCTACGTGGTAGGCACGGCGCCGATCACGGCCACGACACTCGTCACAAGACACACGATCAAAATATGCACTTTTTTTTTTTTTTGCACGGGCAGCGGCGAAACGGCGTAGCAACGTTTCAGTCCCAGAGAGAGAGCGCCCAAACAGCTGAAGAAGGGACGAAACTGCCGGCGCCGGCGCAGCGCAGCACACACGCGCTCACATAGCGCGGCCCGGAGAGGAAAAACAAGCGCCGTCGTCCAGGCTCTGGGTCCTCCCAGCGCAGTCGTCGTTTTCGCCGTCCTCTCCCCACCTCCTTCCCCTTAGCCACCGGCTGGCGCCGCAGGGATCGCTGGGATACCTGCACCTAGCCTCGTGACGTTTTTTGGTGACGCCAATATGACGTAACAACGCGGCTTTGGTGGAGAGTGAGGAGGAAGAGAGCGAGAACATGATCGGTTGATACGAACGGCGCGGCGCTGGCGTCGTTTCCATGCAGCGACTCGCGCGGGCTGAATTGAGCGGGAAGTGTTTTGGCGGCGGCCACCGCCATTTAGAAGGCTTTGTTTGGTTTTCTTTTTTTTTTTCTTTTGAGGTGCGGATAAGGGCGGCCGCTCAGACCACCAGTGGTCGGTCGGTCGCTTTCTCTTCGCGCCGTGAGCTGTGGAGATTGTTTGGAGATGGAGAGCGAAAACGGCTGTGGCTGAGGAGGAAGTTCTGTCGTTATCCGCCGCGCGCGTCACACAAAGCTACAAGGGCAGAATGCGTTGCGCCACTCGATGGGTCTAATGCAATCAGTTTTGACGCCAGACGAAAATGTTATCACTGGGCACGCTAGGTACATTCATAAGACACTCTGGGTACCTTGAACAAGGTTGCCTTGTGAGAGCTAGTTGGTGACTGCGCGTTAATTGTGCAGTGTGCTTCACTATCCCGTATTTTGGCCTGTTTCTGCCGTGAAGTACTTTGATCTCTATGTGATGTTTATATAACGTAAGACACACACACACATAAAATGAAATTGGCCAGAATTGCAGTCTAAGTGGCTTGCTCATCTGAAAAGGCTTAGCACTGCGTAACCACCACCAGGAATCGGTAACAGCCGGTTCAGAGGCTCCGGGCAGTCACCCCTCCTCTTGCATTTACGCCTGTCCCCTCTTTTGCCCCCTCCAAGAGCAAGCATAATCAAAACACAATGTGAAAATCCCCCCTGCCCGCCATCATTCTCTGGAGCCTCTGATTTGTTGCGGCTGGCTCCCCTGTAAGCATATCCTGGCACCGCCCCTGCCAGCACCCTGAAAGGCAAACACTCTACACCTCTTGAAAGTTAGTGAGGTGCTAAGAACCCCAAGAAATAGCACTAGATGGCCGGAAATGGCCATACTTTTGTTTATGATTTCCGCCATGTCTCTGCATGTGCAGTTTCACCGGCTCACATTGTCTGGCAACGATGCTGTGCACTCTCTAACTAAAAAAAGATGAACAAAGCAGAGTTCTTGAATACATGACACACCTACGTAGCATAGAAAACATTGCATTCTGGGTCAATGGCTGGAGCAGGTTCCATTCTCGTTCTTGTAGTAGTATGTCTAGCATGGTCACAACATGTCTGTACCGACCTCCTTGATTGGGGAGCTCCGAGTGTTCTTTCATGAGAAATAGTAGAATGGGCAATGAAAGTGCAACAAATAACAAAACATTTTCAGTTTTGCGAAGCCCAGCCAGCAAATAATAGGTTGTGTAATCTTCAATTGGCGTCGCCTTTCATGAATGTTTCCGACACAGATCTTTTATAGCCATGACCACCCACTGTTCCCCTCGATAAGTGGGTGTGAATAAGATAACACAGCGGCTGACATGGTCCGTTCTTGAGCTGTCAACTGAAAGATATTACCACTTGGTGACAACTCTGAAACAACAATAGTGAAGGAAAGTGACCGCATGGTTTATGATAGCACTAATGAGCGCACTGGTGCTTAAGAAAGCTTTTCAAAGCTGTGAAATCAGTTCCTCAGGTTGCTCAGGAGCGCTCTTCTTGCGTCACAAAGTGGTCCCGTACATTGCCTCAGCAATGAATGCATTCAAATCAATCTCTTTCGTCACCCGTGTTAATGCAACCTTTAGCACTTTGGTTTACAACTAACAGAACACTAGTGCACAGAACTGGATGTGCAATAGATCTTTATACCTTAGCCAATCGCGTGCGTTTGGAATAAGGGCTTAGGTCGCAAGCTGCAAAAGCTATTATTCTTTTACTTCCACGTTAATAAGAATGATGGCAATAAATATGAAGTGACGCAAGTTATGAAGTCTTTAGTATTCAATGAACGCGAATGCAATTATTGCTAGACTTATGGGGCTTAAATTTATCAACGTCAAAAACAATTTCTTATGAAATCAGACGGCAAGGAATAGAGTATGCTTGTTCGAAGCCTTGCGCAGATTATTCATAATGCATGTGCCGTGCGTGACATTGGGGAGAGGGGGAGGCAATCATCACTACAAATTTCCGTTGACATAAAAAACTCCATACTTCTTGGTTATGTAAAAAAAAAAATCTGTTGAAATTGCAATAGCGCGAGTTTTTCTCTAAACTCGACCAAGTCGCATCCAATCATCTCCTATTTGCTGTTGTTCTCCTCAGCTTATTTCATTATTCAATAAATTTCAGCCTCATTCACCGAGACTTTTTTATTAACATGGCGTCACATCGTTTTCTTGATTAACGATTCTTAAATTATATTCCCGCATTCATAGCAGGAAAATATTAACAACACGGCTGCAGTGCTCTTTGGTGAGCATGTAACCCGGATTACTTGCAACACTTGATGGAAGAATTTTGTTTAAGGCCCTTAATGTGCAAAAGAGACGGGTGGTTGAAAGGGTGGATTTATGTTTTGCGTATAAACGCAACCCAATCAAAATGCAACCCCTCAAAGCACAAGAATTGGAATAACACGACCAGTGTAAATGCTGTTTCGCAATGAAAAAGTATCTGTAGTGCCGAGAATACCTACAGAGAACATACTAAATTCGAGAGCAAATTGTACATGCCGAAGGTGTGCAATTCACACCTGTTGTTTTCGGAATTGCACACCTTTTGCGTGAGCAACTCTAGGGAACACGCGTTTCAATGTAGGTGACCATTTCTCGTCCATGCGTTCGCGCATTCGGCGGTAAATGTGAGCGCTGACATTTGAAAAGTTCGAGACAAGACACGGTGGAGCTTTGTTGGAATGATCTCGCTGCGTCGCAAGTGTTATGCGTTGGCGTTGTGCCATTGGGTGCGAGTGTTTTCTTGTCTGTACTTTAAAGAATGATAGCTAAACAAATGCACTAGTTGCGTCTTGTTTTACGTTCAAGAGGGTAGTAATAATAACGAGACGCACTCGTGTTGTAAATACAAGCTATAAAGCTTATACGCTGCCATTCTGTTACTGATCGATGAGGCTTTGTCGAGTAGTTGTGTTTTGATGTTATAATATTGACTTATGAGCTAAAACTGACTGGATGACACTTGTAAATGTTGAATTTCCTGTAGTATTCGAAACTCGCAGAAGATGCTGGATCCACCTTTATTGTTCTATTTTGCATGAATCGCATGTACGTTCGTTGTTCTATGTGAATTGAGTGATTAATAGTATTTGATGGTTTATATTCAATCTTCAATAGATAAGCTTATTTTTCATGTATTCCCAGCAATTTGATGGGCAACTTAGACACTGCAAAAAAAACTGTAATATAGATACGTCAACCGTTTTTTTTTTTTCAGGGTGCAGCTTAATACTGTAAATTTTTTTCACTTGCTTTAGATACAACGTCTGTGTGCAAACCACTTCGGCTTTTTCAGATAAGTTAGCAAAAAGAAATGACCTGGAAAACACATTGCAGTTTTATCGCCGAGCGAGCCATATTCAGCTAAGCAGCGAGGGTTAATAAATGCCACTTCACAAACATATCGCTATCTACTAAATGTTTTAAAATGCGCACATATTCGTGTCCTTGTGCAAGAACTGCAATGTAACAACGTAAATGCATTCTTATGCATTCACCAGGGATTACATGAAGGCGACAGCCTACATCGTTTTGCGGTGCCAAGATCCAAGGCATATGGAATCCTTCTGCACCTCGCGTTGTTCTGCAGCGCCTCCGAGATTGGGGTCCACCTTTGATCAAGCGACGATGTCATCAGTCGGAGTCAGCGTGTAACACTAGGGTAGAGTTACTGTACGCACCCAAAGGAGTCATATACAGTAAAACTAACGCTAGGTTAGCGAATTCATAGTAACGTCACAAATTTTAGCGACCTGTGGCGTCACAAAGACGCCATATGGTTACGTGATGTGAGGTCATCGCATGATGATGATTTTTCACACGCAGCACTTGTCCTGGCACGCACACGTCGTTTTTCGTGTTTGATGAAGCATTAAACCCCTCGCCTTAATAAACTATATGAGCATTGCCCCTCTTCACGTCATTAGTGAACTGTTTTCGCGACGCAGCTTGATGGACGAACGCTGCTGTAATGCTGTTGATGACCATACTTACAACGAGGACGATAGTGATGGCTGTCTTTGTGCGCGCACACCTGAAAGCCATGCCACAGACTGGTCCACTGCAAGTGACACGATCGCGTGGGAATCGCATTCGGTCCACGTGAGAACCCACTATAGAAGGAATGTGGGAAGAAGGAAAGGCATATGACTGAAACTAGTTGCCCTATAAGACCACCTGTACTGCGTCATTGCGATGCCATAGGCTAGGAGTTTAAAAAAAGCCGCTAGTGGTTATTGCTTTCGATAACTAACACTGGCAAACGAGCCTCGTCCAAGCTCCATTGCTAGGTCGACCTTGGATCACCTTTTTTTTTATATTTTGAAATCATAGCCGGCATCGGACTTTGCAGCCCAATGCTCATTAATTTTCCGAGTGTGTGCCGCTGGGGAATCTACAAGTGTACGAGAAACGTCGCCGGACGAGGCGAGGGTCTCACAGAAAAAGGTACCGTTGGAGACCGAAGACGAGCACGTCGTGTGAGGCTCTCGATTTCCTGGGTTGAAGCAAGTACTTCCCGGGAACCCTCGAGGTACTGCACACGCGGTCCTTGATGGACTATAGGGCAGCCTGGAACTGTCATGAACGAGCAATCGAACAGGCCACACATACGGACCCTGTGCATGCGACTACAAGGTGTGATATATAACACAATATCTTTCAGGTGACATACTATCTAGAGCAGTACAGATGACAGTTTATAGCT